GAGCAGGGAGCCCGATGTGGGACTCGATCCCAGGACCCTGGGATCATGACCTGAGCCGAAGGCAGACGCTTAATGACTGAGCCACCCAGGCACCCTCATTATAAGTTTTTTAAATGGCCTTATTAAGTTCTTAGGAAGTGTAAGCAAAGACACTGAAAATAGAGTCCTTTGCAGTCGATTTACCCACTCTCATTCATCAAGCCCCATGCAGCAATTTGTCCTGCACAGGCTGCTTGCTCTCACTGGAAGCCTTTCGCTCTCCTTCCTTCTTCAATTCCGTTCTTCTTATTGTTGCCTACTTATTAACTCCTATGCATCCTTCAGTACTCAGCTCATAAATGATCTCCTCCAGGAAGCCCTCCTTGACTTCACAGTCTAGGTCACGTATCTTTGCTACAGGCTCATTGAACTTTGCTTTTGGATACTTACTTTGGGTGTGATTATATACTTGTTTGTGTAATTACTTGACAACTGTCCTACTCAAAAGAATGAGAGCTGCAAAACAGTGGGACTGTGTTTGCTTCTGCTCACCATTATATCCCCAGGACCAAGCACAGTACTTGATAACATAATAGGTACTCAGTACATATTTGTCAAATGAGTGAATGAGTGAAGGAATGAATGATGAATGAAGGAATAAAGTCCTATAGATGTAGTCCAAAGCTACTCACAATAAACATTGCTTTATCTCAAAAATTCAGTTTAAATCCTCCATTCTATTCTATAGCAGTCTTTGATAGAAAATAATATTTTATATTATCTACCATCATGTGGAATTGATGATCCTAACAAACACATGTCCATCTGTAGCCTAATGTAATTCTAGCACACTGTTACATCTCCCCAGATATGGTATATGTTTCCCAATTTTAAAAGCTAAGATTTTTGTGTGCTTGGCACCTCCCATATGATAGCTGAGAAATGGAAGTCAGGATCTATGACCTTAGTGGACATCTGCATCTCAGCTGAGGAACTGGAAGCAGGATAATAACAGGCGATAATGGAATTTCCCCAAGGTCACAGAGCTAGCTGGTATTTTTATTTACATTTCATCCATTTATATTTTTTAAAATAAATCCACCTTCCTGTCACTTTGGAAGGGGTAGATAAGAAGACTGAGCATGCTTCCTTCTGGGTTTAATTCCGAGGTTCACTAGTGGGTGGCTATTGGCAAGTCTAACCTCAATTTCCTCATCTGCAAAATGGGGAGAATAAGAATATCCCATAGGGTAGGGTTGTTGCAGGGATGTAATATATGCAAATGGCTTAGCACAATGCCTTGTCCTTGGTAAGTGGTCCGTGAAATTAGCTGCTGCTGTTAATGTTCATGCCTTAGGGCTGGAGCGGGAAGGAGTGGAAGGACTGACCTTGGCCTTCAATGGGTGGGAACCCAAGACCAGAGGCTTCTGCTCATTAAACTTGGAGAAAACAGGCCTTGGTCCAATTCAAGAGGAAACTACTATGGGATCCATTTAACTGTCTCTCTCTCTCTAGGAGTGGTTGAATCTACTGCCTTGGTCGTTTGGCTGAGAAGACAAATTAGCCAGAAAGCATTTTTGTTCAATAACACCCAGCAGGTGGTAGAGTTTGTGAAATCTAGGCCTTTGGTCATCATTGGCTTCTTCCAGGTACTGGGGTCAAGAGGTGGGAGGTGGCTTTTTGACTGGTGAGGAGTCCTGTGTCTGGGTGGGGGTGGGGTAAGGAGAGGTCTTCCATTTGGGTTAATACCATACCCATTCTTCCTTTTCCAATGAGCTGGTTTTCCAAGTAAATGCAGTGTTAAAATGAAGAAGGAAAGAATGGAAGGTGACGTGGTAGGAGAAGCTAACCAGAAAGGTGGACAGGAATGCAGAGAGAGGAGAGGAGATTGACGTTTATTAAATTGGTTTTGATAGTATAACTGATCTTGTGGAGGTCCATTTAAAATATCGCTGAATAATAAATAATTTGCAAATCGCTTTTCCTTGTGGAGAATGAGTTTCTTATATATCTTTACTCATTTCCTGTAACTTGGACGGCTCCTCCCTTCCCCCAGCGGAAGTCAGAACTTTGGCATTATATTTTTACACAGGGAGTGTATGTACCTCTTTCTGTCTCATCTCACTTTCTGACAGCCCCAATTTTCTTTCAAGTTATAGAATGAAGGCTGTGACTACAGCCATATCTTGATACCAAGTTTATATTTGGTGATCCATGTGGTCAAACCAGCTGCCTTTTCTGAAAGCAATTAAGGAATAAATGTTTAAAAGTCTCAACCTGTGTGTTAGAACAGCCTTACTCTAGATACTTGGAAAAAGTTGGATTTATCAATTCTTTTCATTAATCTCTGTGGATTTGCCTATTTTGGCTTTAGTCATAGCCACAGAAGTATTCTGAGTATGTAACATTCATGAAAGGGGACTTAGGGAACCCAGGAAAACCCTAGAACTTGGAAAGGTGAGGAGATAAATTGGTCACCATTTCCACCTTGACCTTAAATAAGCCAGACGTTTTGCTTTCTACCAAAACCTCACCAAACATCCTTCCCCAAACAGGATTTAGAGGACGAAGTAGCAGAGTTGTTCTATGATATGATCAAAGACTTCCCAGAACTAACGTTTGGAGTGATATCAATTAGCAATGCTATTGGACGTTTCCACGTCATCCTTGACAGTGTTCTGGTGTTCAAAAAGGTAAGACTTGGATTTTATTGCTAGTGAAGGGTCTCCAGCTCAAAACAGTGGACTATGCATGTATCTACAGGCTTTGGGTACAAATTCTGGTTCTGCCACTTGTGAGCTAAGTGGCATTGGACTAGGCAGCTTTTGTGAGATCACAGTCTCCCAGAGTTTCTCTGGCCTTTCTAGACATCTTCCATTGTTAGCTCCTCCTCCTTTTCTGAACCAGTAAATGCCATTCATTAAGGCTCAGTCCTCTGCCCTGTGTTTTCTTCTGGTCCCTGCTCTCTCACCCACCCTCCATCAGCAATTACCACCCATACACCCATGACTTACAAATCTCCCATTTCCAGCCAGACTGCTCTATCTCCAGACTTTCATATCCATTACCAGATGTCTCAACATGACCAAGCCTAACATCATAACCTCCCCTCCAAATCCTCTTTCAGTATTTTTTCTTTTTCTCTCAATGAATGGTATCATCATTTCTCCAATGTCCCATCTGAGCAAAGCCAGAATACCCAGGCATTATTCTAACCCCTCCCTCTTCTCCATCCTTCACAACCAGTCCATCACCCCAAACCTGTTGGTTTTAAATCCAAACTATCCCTTGAGTCTATTTCTCCTGCTACCATCCTAAGTCAAGTGACCATCATCTCCCATAGCTTAATGCAACATCTACCCAACTGGTCTACCACATTCTCTCTTATCCCCTAAAGAGTAATCTTTCCAAAACTCAAAAGTGATGGCCACCTACCTCCTTCCCACCAAAAGCCCTTTAATGGCTTCCTATTATTCTTAGGATAAAGACTCAAGTCCCTAACAAGGCCCACAAGGCCTTCCTCAGTCTAGCCTCTATTACACTTCTTCTCTCCCTCTCTGGGATCTGAGAACAGATCATCCGAGCTGTCTAATAGGGCAGCTACTAGTCACATATGACTATTTACATTAAAACTAATTAAATTAACATTTTAGCTCCTCAATCAAACTAGCTACATGTGGATAGTGGCTACTATACTGGACAGCATAGATTTACAGAGCATTTCCATCATCACAGAAAGTTCTATTGAACAGTGTACTCTAGAAACTGTAGGCTGGTTCCTGGAACATGCCTTACTCCCCTCACCACACAAAGCCAAATCCTTACAATAATCATGTTATTTATAGATATGGCTTAGAGAGGTTAGGTTACTTGCCCAGGGCCACATAGGAGGTGGGTAAAGTGATACCCAGACCTGCTTAAGACTGTGAACCACTTCATTTTTACTTGGGCTCTTAGAATTAATTACAAGGTTTTAAGTTGAGAATAAATTAACCTGATTTGTGTCTGGGAATGGGACAGCATAGAGTCCCAAAGGAGATCCAAATACATATGGAAATCTAGTATATGATAAAGATGATATTTTAGATCAGTAGGGAAAATATGTTATTCAATGACTAGTGTTGAGAGGATTGGGTAGCGATCTAGAAAAAAAAAATAAAGCTAAATCGATATATCCTCCTTCCACAGAGTTGAATCGAAGACTGATTTCCGATTTAAAAATATAACAAAGAAACAACAGGGGACTTTGCTTTCTAAACTTGGAGCTGGAAAGTCCTTTTATAAAGCATGACAAAAACCCCAGAAACTATGAAAAGAAATACTGATAAATTTGGACCACATAAAAAGTTAAAAGTTCCACAGAATAAACCTCATCACAATATCAAAAACCAAAGAGCAAACTTGAAAAATGCACTTAGGACAGAGTCAGTCTATTTTAATGGTTAAGAGCATGAGCTCTAGAGTCAGACCACTGGGTTGGAATCTTGGCTCCCCCTCTCACTCACTTAGCAACCTTGGGCAAGTCACTTCACTTTTCTGTGCCTTGATGTCCTCAACTGTATAATGCGAGAAATAATGATTCATAACTCAGTGGAATATTATGAGGATTAAATGAGTTCTTGCATATAACATATTTAGAACTGTGGTTGGTACAATATGAGCTCTCCATAAGTCGGATTAACATTATCAGACTATTGTCATGACCAGAAAAGAGTTTCAGCTTTGTCCAAAGGACAACAGGGGCTATGAAGTATTTGAGCAAGACAATGACATGAGTTGCTTTCTAAGAGCATCACTCTGGCTAAAGGTGGGGGGTAGGTTGGAGGGAAACAAGGGGAGAAACTGGAAGACCATTAGGCAGATTTTGCAGGAGTCCAGGAAAGAGGTTTGGACTAGAGGGTAGGCTCTGTGAAGGTGAAGAGAAACAGACAGCATAGGGAGAAATCAGCCGGAGAGAGCTACGTCTTTGTTCTCCTTCCCCCACAGATTTTGATCCCGAGCTACAGAGAATTATTTCCTTTCCTGTGTTAATCCCAGTCCTTCTGAGAAGCAGTCATTAAGCAGGATTAGACATGCAAAAGATTAGGGGGAATGCCTGTGAAAGGAAACAGAGGGAGCTGGGGGAGACTCATCCGGCCACTATGTAGTTCTGACCCTTTGGAAGGAAGGAAGGTCCCCTGCCTGCAGAGAAGTTCTAAGAAAGCTGGTCAACGTCACCTACCAGAGAAGTCCTGCATCTCCCAGAAATGGGCTTGCCTTAGTATCACTGACACAGGGTCATTGGTTAGGAGCAGTGTGTAAGAAACTGCATCAGCACAACTATTTGGATGGATTTCAAAACGAAGCAACTGGCTACCCATTGACCATACTCCCTGCTTTGTAGATTGGAGATTTTCACAGCTGCCACAGACCCATATTTCACTCACAGGCTAATCCGCCAGGCTGTTCATATTTACCAAGTACCTAGATTATGGATTACACTCGTCACTATGGTGTTCTCCTTTTGTCCACGGGGAAAATTGTGCTATTTATATTTATTAAGTGTCTACATTATGGAAGCTACTACCCTCCAATACTTTTCTCCTTTTGTCCAAGGGAAAAATTGTGAAACGCGAGGAGCTTATTAATGACATTACCAACAAACATGTCCTCAATCAAGTCATAAAAGAGCACCTCACAGATTTTGTTATTGAATACAACACCGAGGTCAGTGAGCCAAAGGGTCCCTGGGAGAAGGGTAGGGTGGGGCAGCTGTGTGCATGGATGACCTGTTTCCCTGGTAATTTCAGAACAAGGACCTGATTTATGAATTGCACATCCTGAATCACATGCTGCTCTTCGCCTCCAAAAGCTCGGAGTCATTTGGTATGATAATGCAGCATTATAAGTTGGCATCAAAGGAATTTACAAACAAGGTTTGTGGAAAGTGCTATTGCCCTTGTTGGATGGGTATCCAGGACCCACAGACGCTAATGTCATTTGCCTGCCCTGCTGATTGTAAATTGAGCCCAGGATGATTTGTATATCCATTTGCATACCAGTTTCCTTATTTGCATATTGATGCTACATATTATTTCCTACTTAATTTTCAACCAGGCTTCCTCCCTTCTTCCTGCCCAGTGTCTCTTCCTTTTTTTTTGCCATACCTATGCTTCTTCTTTCCTCATCTCTTTGGGTTTTTTGTTTGTTTTTTAAGATCTTATTTATTTGACAGAGAGAGACACAGCGAGACAGGGAACACAAGCAGGGGGAGTGGGAGAGGGAGAAGCAGGCTTCTCACTGAGCAGGGAGCCTGATGTGGGGCTGATCCCAGGACCCTGGGATCATGACCTGAGCCGAAGGCAGACGCTTAACAACTGAGCCACCCAAGCGCCCCTTTCCTCATCTTTTTGAAAAGTCTACTATGGGAACATGGATAGTTTGGCTGCTTTCTTGATGGACGATGCTCTAGCAGGAGTGAGGGGCTGTAGTATGGGTGGTCTTTGGCCTGGACGTGAGGGGGAGGCGAGAACACCCCTGCCTGAGGTCAAGGAGTCTGAACAGCCTGCAGGTGTGAAGCAGCACAGGTTGTCTGATAAGTAACTGCTGAGACAAAAGGCTTTAGCATTGCACAGACCTGGTTCAAATTCTCTTCCTCTTAGAAGCCATTTTGTTCGTGAGTTTCTTAGCCACTGAGTTTCAGTGTAAAATGGAGAACTTCATGGAAGAAGTAGAGGTGTCACAGGTAAAGCAATGAGCAAATGTACAGTGAACAGTGCTATCATCATTAGAAACAAATCTGTTTTTCTCAAGCACCATACCTATCCTATATGTACCACCACCTGGACTATGGGGGGAATTTACTTCACTTTTCTCTTTATTTTTTGTAAAAAGTACAGTAATGGCAGATTATTTTCCTTTTGATGAAAATTACTCTAAAATTCAAATGAAACAATTAAAAACTTTGAAACCCAAAATAAACACACAGTAAAGCCACTAGGGTGTGAACATAGTTAATGTTCGTGCTACATCCCACCACACTATTCTCCAGGGAGTTTGTTCCAATTACAGAAATACCTCTTGTAAATAAATTTCCTGGTTTATTCAATTTTAAATTTTTGATGTAATTCAGCTGATCATGATCTGATTGCTTCCGTCTATTTCTCTTATAGTAGTCAATATGTAGACATATTTCTTCCAAATTATTATTTTTTTATTTAACTCTTTAATCTAGGTGGAGTTTGTTTGCGCATACATTGTGAGATAAGGTTCTAAAATAGCCTTTACCCCAACTATCTACCTTCCTGAATGCCATTTGATTGTAATCAATTTTAGAGCCAAAGATAAATGGATGAATATTATTCAGACAGGTCATTCCCCCATATCTTATCTTGTTCATGGCTAGTCAATATTAGTTGAAAGTATACAAGGACGGTTCTAATGCTTTGCTTTGTTTTCCACTCCACAGCAGAGGGAAGAGCATTGGGCACATAATAGGGCCCTTAATATTTTGACAGATGAATGACCTGAGAGTATCAGTGTTTGCTGGGGCCTCCCTGCTTCCCCTCTTGCTTCTTCTCTGCAACCAGAGTCATCTTTTAAAAATTATCATAGCACTTTCTGGCTCTCACTATTCTTTAGTGGTCTTCCATCTTTTTTTTTTTTTTTTAAAGATTTTATTTATTTATTTTAAGAGAGAGAATGAGATAGAGCATGAGAGGGGGGAGGGTCAGAGGGCGAAGCAGGCTCCCCGCTGAGCAGGGAGCCCAATGCGGGACTCGATCCCGGGACTCCAGGACCTGAGCCGAAGGCAGTGGCTTAACCAACTGAGCCACCCAGGCGCCCCTGGTCTTCCATCTTATTCAGATAAAAGCCAGCCTCCTTACTGGAGCTCTGATCTCATCTCACACATCTCTAACTTTGTCTCCCTTGACTCTCCCTCATGGTGCTGAAGCCACACTGGTCTTTCCTTAGAATCTGTGGATGCAGATTCTAAGCACTGACAGTTTCCACTGCCTGATTCATGTTCCCCTGACTTGTTAACTCATCACCCAGGTCCCAGCTAAAATGTCACCTCCTCAGATACTCCTGACCTTCCTACCTAACAACGGGCTCTGACCTCACTCCACCTGTATGGTCATTCTCTATCATGGTGCTCTGTTTTACTGTCTAATTGACACTCATTGCTATCTGAATTTATTAATTTTTTACTCCTTTGTTGCCTGTCTTTTCCACTAGAACATAAACTCCATGAGGGCAGATCTTATCTGCCTTGGGCAGTTTATATCCCCAGTGCTTAGCAAAATGCCTAGTAGGCACTCTGCGAATATTTGTTGAATGATGAGTGAATGAAGTCATGAATTTCCTTGACAGAAGAATAATCTAGAATAATAATGAGCTGACATGTACTGAGCATTTTTACCTCCCAGTTACTGAACCAAGCCTTTATACACATTGTCCTGTTTAATTCTCTCAGCGACCCTATAAGGTTGATACTCTTATAATCACCACATTACAGGTAAGGAAACAGGCATAGAGAGGGTCAGTTACTGTTTTGCCCAAGGACCTTGAGGAAAGCTCAGGACACCTCCTGACTTCCTGTGGTTGTGTGGATGGTACCCTGCACAAGGATGGTGAAACCAGGCTGGTGGCCAATCCCTGTCTGTGCCCTGGGGCACAGGGCTGCCCCTGCCTGATGGAAAGGAGCCTCTTTGTTCTGTCTTTCAGATGCAAATAGCCATAGACCCTGCTATTCGCATTCCCTTAGTGCTCTCCCAAGGTTTCCCAAGTTTCTCTCCCTCAGTAAGGGATTCCTTAGCTAATTTCAATCTTTACCCTTTTCATGATGACCTCCAATCCCAGAGAGACTCAGGTTTTATTTTATTTGGTAGATACTTTTCATCCTTGTGGATGCAGATGAACGCAGAAACGGAAATATCTTCAAATACTTCAGGATTACAGAAGTTAATATGCCATGTGTCCAAATCCTAAACTTAAGCTCTGATGCAAGGTACAAAATGCCTTATGAGGAGATAACCTATGAAAATCTCAAGAAATTTGGCCGCAGCTTCCTGAATAGAAGTGCCAAGGTACGTTTGTTTTTAGACAAAGTTTACTCAGAACCTCAAAATTTCATAATTTTGCTGGCTTTGGTCATCTGAATGGGGAGGCAGAATCTCATGGTTCAAAGTGGGGAAATACCTATATCTCTCCATCTCCAATCTTTTCAACTTTTGACCTGTCTTGACCCTATAATTCCACCATTAATTCTTTATTTTGAAAGGCATTTCCTTTGCAGGAACTCCCAACTGAAATGCAGGAGCTCCCAGGGCCAACATTCTCTGAAAGAAGACACTTTTCCTCCTTCCTTTGAAGGATAGATAGATTTCTGGGGAGAGGAGATAGGGTGGCGAGGTATTAGGCAATCAGGATTTAGCCTCAAAGGTTTCATGTACCTCTTATTGGGAGATTAGAAAGGAGCCTGTTTTGCTAAAAGGGAGGAGAAGCTGTAGAAGGATCAGACATAACACAGTATCTCCTGTTTATGTAGCACTTATAATGTCCCCCAGTCACCCTGCTGAATTAGATGACCATATTTTTTATTTTCCAAATGGGACCACTTTTGAGACTAATGGGGGGGGGTGCATTCTTTAAAAGTATTCTGGAACAACAGGAATAAATTGGAACTTTCCAAGCAAATCAGAATATTTGGTCACCTTCCCTCTGAGGATTCCCATTACCTTCTGTCCATTCCTGTACAGATACTCCTTCTCAAGTGAAAGCCATTTTTTCTCTGATGCACAACATCATCACAGGCCAGGTGGTGAGGCTGGTATCTTCCATGTCATTTCTCCTCCTCCTCCCTTCAAAACCCCAGATCCCATGCATTTGGACTTTAGATCGCCTGCTCCCTCCCTCCATTTCTGTCCTCTAGTCATGTCCCTTTCACTGTCGGGGGACTTAAGTTCCTCATTGCAGACTTGCCCTCCATCTCTTCTCTGCCATCATTTCCAGAGATGCCAGTATCCAAAACCCTGGTCTCTCTCTTTTCTCATAATTGGTGTGTCCATGCCATCCCAGCCACCTGCTCTGTGGCCACACACTAGAGATGGCAGCCCCTCTGAAAATCTGATTTCAAGCTTCCCATCTTCTTAATTCTTTTTTCTAATATCCACATTGCTACAATTCTTTGCCCTTCTCATGGCCTCCAATCTCCTGATCCCCTTTCACAATCTCTTTTCTGCCTTCCTTCATGAACTTGGGATTCCACGGTTCACAGCTCTGCTGATGATTCCCTTAACTTCTTATTCCTTTATCCACCTTCTACCTTCTTTACACCCTGTAGAATTTACAAGGCAAAACCACAACTCTGGTTGAACTGACTTAATGTCCCTACTTCTTCCAGGCCAATGCTGGAGAAAAAGAACACCACCATGAGGCAGGCTGGCCTCATAGAATCACAAACCTCCCATGGGCTCTCTAAAATGTCCTGACATTTCTGTATAAATTTCTCTTAGTGTGTTCATTCTCTGAATCTCCGAGTCTTTGTCCTCATACCCCATTCCTATTCCAGTCTCAGCTGAGTACAAGACCATGTATCATTAAGACAGGGACCCCTCATTTTCCATCACCACATCTACAAACCTACCTGGAGCTCTACCTCAGGAGGTGTCTGTCTCCTCCTCCCCTGCTCTTGCAATAGAGATGACACTTCACATGACTTACAAGATGTCACATGCCTGATCTGGCCCATTTCTAATTTCCATCATTTCCCATCTCCCATGCCCAGCCTCCACCCTCCTTTATGCCCCCTCAGAAAGAATCTTCCCTTCTAGAGGCTGGTGTGGGGATGAGGGAAGTATTGTAAATCTGAGTTAACTGGATAAAGAACAGAGAGCAGGAATGAGGAGTGGGGAAGGCCCTCCAGGCAGAGGAATGGCATAAACAAAAGCCTGAGGTGGAAGAAGCCTAGCCCTTTGGGTAAATAGAAGATCAGTATGGTTGAAGAAAGCAAGGAAAGAATGGTAATGAGCTTGGTGAGGCTGGTAGGAGCCAAAGTGTGATAAAGGCTTTATAGGTCATGTAAATTATCTTGGGTTTGATTCTGGGAGTAATTGGGAACAGCTAAATTTTGGGGGGAGGGAGGGACAAACCAGTTAAGATGTTGAAGACATGAACCCCACTCTAGAATTCATCCCAGTTTGAAGCCCTGCCTCCTCCCCAACCCTCTGATCTCAATTTGCCCTGAATAATCCGGTCTGGACATCAAGCATTTCAAACTCTTTCCCAAGATGGTTATAAGAACAAGAGAAAATTTTCCATTGTTTCCTGTCAGGGCAGAGAGCCCCAAATGCCAACCCCTTTCTGGAGACTGTTAGACCTCTCAAATTTGCTTCCTAGAAACATCAATCCAGTGAAGACATTCCAAAATATTGGGACCAGGGGCCAGTTAAGCAGCTCGTTGGGAAGAACTTCAACATAGTGGTCTTTGACAAGGAAAGGGATGTATTTGTGATGTTCTGTAAGTATCTCTGCCGAGGCCATAGAAGGCAATGGCCCAGACATTACTCTTCAAGTGCTGCTCCTGAATTCTGGGGCCTCCAAATCTCCAAAATCTATCAAAGCATCATGCCAAGGATGGTCTTCAAACATCCAAAGAGTTTGGATCAAGATGCTATCAGCTACAATGCAACTCTCCCCGAAAATCTAATTCTTGGAACATACCTTCCATATAATCCAGTCCTGCGGCTTTTATAGCAATAATAATGCTGATGGCTAACAATGATTCGATGCTATGGTATACCAGGCCTTTTGCTAAGCCATTCTATACTTTATCTCATTTAATCCTCACAACATGCTTTTGAAAGTAGCTACTATTATTGCTCCCACTTTGCACAGGACTAAACAGAGTCTCAGGGAGGTGAAGAAACTTCCAAAGTCAGGCAGCAAGTAAGTGCTGCAATTGGGATTGGATCCTGGGCAGCCTAACCCCAGTGCCTCAGCTGGTCACTGCCGTAAAGAACGGCAGTTCTGGCTTTATGTAACTTATCAAACTGCCCATATTTAACCTACCTGAGTTGGTGTGGCCAAGCCGGAGACTCAAATCATGCAGGTAAAGGGCTTAGCAGTGTCTGGCATATTGCAAGTACTTGATAAATAACAGCTATTATTATTCCTATTGTTGTAATTATTTCCAGTACTTGCCTAAGAACTATTGCCCTTTCTCTGCTGTTTCTGATTTGCACATGAGAGTCATAGCCAGGGACCTCTTTCCCACCCTGAGACACAGAGAAGGATAATGCTGAAGTTACTTCAGACATCTCTTGTATTTTACCATTTATCGAGCACTGACATTAAGCCAGGCATGAGTTGGCTGTGTACACACCTGCTCTTATTTCCTCCTCAAAACAAGCCTCTTAGGAAGGTCCAGTGTATTTCCCCATGATACAAATCAAGGAACTTAGCCTCGGAAAGATTAATTACCTTACCTCAAGTCACACAGTAAATAACTTGAAGGCAAAAAGTTCAAATCAAGCTCTGATGTCATTCCTTCCTGAGGGCTGCACTGCATCATGCAGGCCTTTAAAAATCTCATTGAAATGGACTCTCATCTACAGGGCGAGGTGTTTAAAGTTCATGTGGTTGAATAACCATGATCTGTTGCCTTTAAGTGAGAGGCAGGGCAGCTTTTCTATACTTAACTGACACCAGAGCTAGGAGAATGCCCATTTGGTTCTGGTAAAAGGCAAAAGGAGCCTCATTTTCTTGGAAGTAGGCTTGTCAGATTGGCCCCCTGGGACTGCGACCATTATGCCCCCTCCTGCTCCAACCCAGGCCCATCCGGCTCCAAGGGAGCTGTGGGGAGAACAGATGGTCATGGAAGTACTTGGTTTCTAAATGGAGGGATGATCATCCAAATGTAGAGTGTCGGGGCCCTTGAGGCCACCCCTCCCACAGAGCCAGAAACTTTAAGGGGATGATGAGCAGGGAAGGTTAGAGCTGGTCCCCGATTCTCTCCAGAGGGCTGGGTGCCTGGGCCTGACTCAAAGCTAAAGGAATGGCCCCTAAAGGCTAAAAGGCAGTGTGGTATAATGGTCACCAGTCAAAGCAGCCTGACCTCAAATCCTACTTCCTCTGCTTAATTACCTGGGTGACCTTGGGCTGTGTGCTTAACCTCTGTTGAAAAACTCTTGTGCTCTCTCTCTCTCTCTCTCTCTCTCACACACACACACACACACACACGATTTCTGGCAGAACATGAGGAATCGTCTAGTGTAATGTTTTTTCCTTCAACTGGAGTGGAAAGCCATGTTAAAAAAAAAACAGAAGAGGGCACCTGGGTGGCTCGGTTAGTTGAGCGACTGCCTTCGGCTCAGGTCATGATCCTGGAGTCCCTGGATCGAGTCCCGCATCGGGCTCCCTGCTCAGCAGGGAGCCTGCTTCTCCCTCTG